TATTACATACAAATAGTGTTTTGCGACAATCCTAACCCTCCTACTCTGAAAAAAAATATAAATATCTTAAATAAATATTTACCTTAATACGGTTAAAAGCTAAATCAAACGCGGTTGCATAGTATTGCTTAATCTTCTAAAGTTCAGTTTTTGTTATTTCATACGTTAAGGGGTTAAAGATACACTTCGGTAACCGAGCTCGAGGTTCTCCTGAAAAAATCTTACGAATTTTTTTATTATAATTGGCAAGATATTGCAGATGCGAAAATTGTGTCCACATTGTTACTTGGTTTATTAAGTTCACATCAAAATTGCCATGTTGCCCACAGTGGGCCTGTCTCAAAAATCGAATCTGCAATATGTAAGAGGTAATAGAAGCTAATAAGCGTTGCTTGAAGACGTTCAGGTTCTCTTTGGTAATATTCCCTATATTTTATAATTATGCATCAAGATTTATTAATAAAAAAAAAAAAAAAAACTGAAATATAACATAAAAATCTAATAATTTAGTTAGTTTTTTTTTTTTGAATATAAATTAAGTAAAGGTTATATCTTATATAAAATTCCTACTTCTTATTGTATTAAGATCAATCACGAAAGGTCAATTAATTTTATCATGCTTTTCAAATTACCATCAATTGTTCACGTATTAAGATCAATCACGAATGGTTAATTAATTTTATCGTGCTTTTCAAATTATCATCAATTGTTCATAATGTAAGCCTTATTTCTATTTAACAATTTTTAGATGCATTTCAATTGTCTTAAGCATTAATCGATATTTGAAGCTATTTTCAATTCTACAGACTAGTAGAAATTAAAAATGGCCTTAAATCATTAAGTGACCAGGCCGTTATTGAGAAATTTCAATTAAATATACTATTAAAAAAAAAATATTAGAACTTTAATAATATAATATGAAGTATGATATAAATCGTAAAACTTAGTTAATATACTCACACACAGCCTATTATGATTTATTATGGTTATTACTATCCACAGATCCAACCTTGCTGTAATTTTCATAACTAATTATCTAATTCATTCAACCATTAAACAGAAGGAACTGTCCCATCGATTTGAAGATTCACAAGTTTGCATTTTCGATTCCAAGATTCTCGGGCGGTTTGTAATTCATGAGATTAGCTGACTGCAGTAATTTGAAAAGCATGATAATATAACAAAGAAAATAGTGATGTTATCCTGCTTCGTATAATATACAATAGTTTTCCAAATAACTTGTTAAAGACATTAGCAATAAGTTTGATAAATAGCAAAAAATTAAAATAATACTCGCAGCATGCTTCTAAGCAGTTTTAAGCAGAGTTTCTAAACATTAAAATGCTAATATATACTTTATATTGAGTTAAATTACTAACTGTCATTAATAAGTATGTTTTTAAAAACATTATATAAAATTAACTATCACATTGAAAAGTCATCATAGTAATAACGAGCAAATTTCATTAAGCAGATTTGAGCATTTTAAGCAGGATAACATCTCTAAAAGAAAACTCACAATGTGAATATAATAAATCTAAATATTTAGTTTTATTTAAATATATATTTTAAATAAAGCTAAATATAATTCTTTGTAGATAAACAATTACTATTCATAATAATTAACAAAATTTATAAATAATTCTTTTATTTCTCGAAGTTCGTCCTTGGAGATAATCGGTTCAAGACATAATTGAACTGCCCTAACAAATTTTGCCCATCCATTAATATGTCTATAATTAAGGAAATAATGATAATAATAATGATAAACCATAGCTGCAAAGTAATTTCAAATTTGACCGAATATTATATATTAAAAAGGTGAATACCTTACTGATAGATGCTCTTGAAAAAGTAGTAGTGAATATAGAATCATCCAGTTATAACCAGTCTTCTGCTTTTAAAGAATTGTGATATTTCTGAATATTGATCAGTGGCTGTCCAAACTCTGATGGCATTGTCTTTCGATTAAGTTCAACTATCCTCCCAATTTCATTCCAATGACTTGCTGTAATCTTATATTCTGCATTATTAAGCCTCTCATTATTAAAAAATTTACCAGCAAAGTGGCGAAATATATTTTGTGTAGTATTTTCAAAGAGAGAATGCATTGTGTCCACTGGAAATGATGCTGTAAAGCTGATTGAATGCAATTCAAATAAGATACTACGCCTATTCACGCCTGTTTCATGCTCTATATTATATCTTTTGCTTTTACCTTTATTCTCTAATATCTTAATGTTTTGAAGATAGCTGGTATGAGAACGCAGTGGTAACTTGCTTGGATTATAAGTCCTACCATTGTATCCTTTGGGTGGCGAGAGTGGAAAATATACATGACAGGCTGTTTCAGAATACGTTCCATGAAGATAACAAAAGCGACATCCGCTATAAGCATTGTGACCAGAGACACACATGATCTTAGATAAAGCAGGAATATCTCCCACCATGACAATATATGACCTCGCAAATAAATGTCTTCTGAGATAATACATCGTAACATGATACACCTGCTATTAAAAACTTTTTGTGTTAGTTTATTATATTATAAATTTGAGTACAAGTTATTTGTTATACAGGGTTATTGCTGCAAAAAGAGACGAAATTGACAAAATCATTTTTGCGAAAAATTGATTTTTGTATTATAAAGTCTAATAAATTATAAGAGAATAAAATTTTAAAGGATCATACTGCAATATTTTATTAATTAAAAATGATTCTAGACTAATTTTAAATTAACTAAAAAAAAATTAAAAAATTGTTAATTTCGTCTATTTTCTTAGAAAGCTAGTTTATATAAAATTCTCTTGATATGATGGATTTACTAATAAAACTTTTGATATAGTGAATTATTAAAATTTTTTTATTAATAAATGGATCACCTCATTATAATGAAAGCGACTTGTATATGATTTTTTTATGATAAGTTTATTCTTATTATATAGAATGAAATTTATCTTCTAGATATTTTAATTCATCTACAAGCAGCTGTAAGAAACTATTAAAATCTCTTGGTGATTTTGGACCAGGGATAATTGCGGTTATCTTCAAATTTTCTTTCTTTATTCTCTGATCTGGAGGTAGGTTCGCATTTATAAGTAAAATTACCCAGCAATCACTTTGTTTTTTTTTAAATAATTGAAAACTGTCCATGGATGCAATTAAAGCAATATCACAAGGATCTGTAAATAGGCCCGATGCAACTAAAGATTTATATCGGTTGCCATCAAAAACATCTCTAATTAAACTACTTTCAGATCTAAAATCTTCTCTTGATACGTATTCATGTCGATATCGGAGAATTTTTGCACGTAATGGATCTTTGTATTGCATTCATAAGCTATCGATTATAGAAAAGTACACAGCTGATTTTTGAGCTTTTTCTGATGTTTGTCTAGACACATATCATGGTTCTCCACAAATAGGACACATTTCACAATTAATATTTTTTTTACTAAATGCGCAACAAGAATTCCAGCACATATCCACAAGCTTTGGCTCAAGTGGGATCAAAGTTTTAAAAGCTTTTCGAAGTTTATAAAGAGAAACCTCTGAAATTTTGAATATCTTCATAATTTCATTAAATGCTTGGTCTGGCAACGAATATTTGGTTTTAACATATAGAAGGCAAAGCCCTTAAACTAAATCATCTGACAAGTCTTAAATAAAGAATAAAAAAAATTATTAATGTTAAATATTAAAAATAACTTGCCTCCTATATAAGTATATTAATGTTTTGAACCAACTACTATTAAATATATAAAAATAGTTCTCTATATAAGCACATTTTCTATATAAGAACACATTTGTAGGTTCCATTGGTGTGATTATATGGGAGTGCGACTATATACATACTACAGCTGATTCTCTCTAAGTGCAAGTTAATGGTGCATTAAATATACTATATAAAAAAAATACAATCTTGCATTTAAAAAGAAGTTATAGAGAACATAAAATCTATATTATCTGTATATTTGAGATCAAAAAAAACTTGCATTTTACAAGTTATACTTAGAAAACATGCACTTAGAGAGTATTAACCGCAATAGGTTTTAAGCCAATAAAATTAAAAATTTTTTAAATTTTTAATTTGATTGATCAAACACGACTAATTAATTGTTTATTATGAAAATATGAGATTTACCGATATTATTATCAAATTCTTGTTCATCTAGTTCAGATTGTTGCTCTCTAATTCGAATTCTTGATGTACTAGCTCGACTTGTTCGTCTTTTTCTAATTCAGATTTGAATTCCAATAAATCATTATTTTCTAAAGCATCAGAAGCTACAAAAAATAACAACTCATGATTTTCCATATTTTCAAAATCATTCAACCCCAATCTATTCTTTTCAAAATTACCTAACTCCAAGTTATTATCTGACAAATTTAAAACTGATGTTGAGAGGTTTATTGAAGTGGAAGATGAAGAATTAAAATGATATTTTGTATTTCCGGGTTATAAGATTGCACAATATTATTGTATATATTTAGGTTTTGCGCATTTTTTAGTAGAGTAATAGTAGATATATCTTTAAAGTTTTTTCTTGTCGTCGATGTCTCGTTCGAGTAGAGGTGCTTACATATTTCCCAACGTTATTAGATGTAGTTCAACAAAATGTGCAGGCACATAATACTTGTCTTTTTATTGTTGTATTTGAAATCGTAAGATACAAACAATTATAAAGTTAATTGAAGTAACATATATAAATGACCATATATCATGCAATCGATCAGTCAAGGAAATCTGATATCGGGCTTTCAATTTTATTTTGTGCTGGACTCAATATATTTGATTTATTAGTAATTATGTCCGGTATAAAATATAATTGAAAGCCTGATAGCAGGTTTCCCTTTGATACAATCATTTAATCACTGACTATAAATACCATTAATTTTATTTTTTAAAAAATCAATTTTTTCTTTTACAAAAACAAATATTTTTTTCTTTTTATAATAATTACGTCTAAACTTTCAGTTTATTTGTTTTCTTACACAAAATGTCCAGTCTTAACACAAGTAATATGAATAATCATTCTAACAACGGATGTAATAACAATAATGTAAATACAGAAACAAGCCAAAATATTTCATTATTTCTTCAGTTATTATCGAACCCGACTATTTTACAGCAAGCACTTTCAGCTATTACACAAAATTCATAGCCTATTGAGCACCAACCTCTCCTGAGTTTACACAAACCCCTCTAGCATTATCAAACGCTATCATAGGAGTTGTTAATTCATCGGTAACATCTTATTATTTATTTTTAAAATTTTAATAAATTTTTACAAAAGTTTAATTATTTTAGTTTCCACGGGGTTTGCACAAAATCCCATTACTAAGGAAGAGTGGAAACAATGGAAAAAGACTAAACGACTAGAAGAAGATTGGAAAGACTTTCTCCGTTTGCCTCATGATACTTATTGGATATATCGGGCAAGTCTCAGTACTATATACCTTTATTTTTTAAATAAATTGTCGATAATTCTGTAATTACTATTGTATGTTTATTATATATAGAGAAATTTGCGTGACAGGTTAGCAGCCAGTTGTCAAAAAGGCAAACATGCATCAGAACAAACACCAGGCATAGTTCGAAAAATTATTAATGATGTACATGCATGCATATTTACTATAATTTTTTTTATTGCAAAACTAACCTAATAATAACGTATATATTTAGTTTAAATGTGATTTTCTGACTTTTCCAATTTCTGTTGGAGATTTCGTTTTGCAAAAAATATCTGAAAATATAATTAGTAATTGGGGTAAAGCATTATATTTCATTCTAATATCATATTAAAGATACTGTATTAAGATTAGAATAATTTGTAGTGGAAACTGAACGTAAAAATAAGATAAAGGAAGCACGTGCTCAAGATATCGAACCTCCTCTCAAACGTAAAAATACCGTCCCTCCTACCTCAAGAGTTAAGAAAACTACGGTTCAACCATCAGAAACAAATTCTGATATAGCCGAAGTTGATGATGAGTTTGATGCCTCATTAATTGCATATAATGAAAATGATTTTTCAAATCACAATAGTATTACTTACAATAATACTGATATTCCTAAATCACCTACCATTACTCCTCGTATAATGAGTTCCTCAATACCTTCAAGAATTCCAGTCCAATCATCTGCAACAAGTTTCAATTCAATTAAAGCTAAAAATTTCGAACTTGACAGTGATGACAATGCATCTGAATCATCTACCACTATGTCTCGCACAATGAGAGTTTCAAGGTTTTCAAAAGTTCCAGCCCAGTTATCAGCAACAAGTTTTAAGGCAATTGAGGTTGATAGTTCTGAAGCTAGAAATTGTAATGATGCATCTGAATTATCTGCTGTTACCTCTCGTACAATTAAATTATCGACACATTCAAGAATTCCAACTTGGTTATCAGCAACAAGTTCCAATATGACAGATGTTGATAATTCTGATGCTGATGATGATATGTCTGAATTTTCTACCATAACGCCTTTAGCAACAAGTCCTTCAAGGTCTACTAATCCAGCCCGATTATCAGCAAATTCCAAAGCAGTTGGGGTCGATCATTTTACAATTAACAATGATAATGACATATCCGAATCACCTATCACTACCTCTCACGCAATGAGAACAAGATCTTCAAAAATTTCAACACGATCGTCAGCAAGTTCCAATAGAGTTGAAACTGATGATGCTCAATCGTTTGATCTATCATTATCTCCTGTGGAGCAGAATAGAAATAATATTATTATGTATTTATATAATAAACTTATAATATATTTGTAAAAGTAATAATAATACAATGAATTAAATCTCATACGATTATAAAATATTCAATTTACTACTTGTCTTCACCTCCTATAACATCTTTTTTCTTATATCTTAATATGCTCAATTTATAATAATACTTTCATTTAATGTGTAGGAAAAAAAAAACTAGAGCGAATACTAAAAAAGCTTCCAAGAAACAGGTCAAAACAAAGAATACCAAATAGGTTTACAGTGTGTAAAATGCTGGAGTATGCCTTGCAAATTGCTTTATTTATTATATAGTATGTACGTATATAGTATGCACAATCTCTGTATTTATTCTGAATAATTTATTTGCCTATTTATATGCAATATATATATATTAAATAAAATACCTGGCTATTCAATTTATTTTATATATGAGATAATCATTCAATATTCTGATTATCTTCCTAATATGTAAAATATCCCAATTATCATCCTAATATGTAAATGTTCTGATTATCTTCCTAATATGTAATCCTATTATTGGCCATAACCTAATTACTAGTAAAATATATTCCTGCTTCATTCCGATTATTGGCTTTATCTCATACGTAAATGATCATGAAATGACCCATATGTTTGCCAGACTTATATAGACAATAGTAGACAATTATCTGGAATGTTTTTGGAATATTATTGTTAATAATCATCCCGAAAAATGCTTATTTTCTGGAATGCAGCATGATTATTATCTGGCGACTTTTTAAAAAAACCTGAAATTTTTTTGAATATAACTTGAAAAAAAATAGGATGATTCTCTAGACATTTCTGGAATAAGAAATTCAGAATACTTCTGGAACATTTTTTTAAAAAATTTTTTATAGGGACCTGTATAATTGAGCATTTCATAGCTAATGCCTGTAGGATCACAGGCTTTTCCATTGGGAAGCTTTGCTATAGTTTGAGATACTTCTTCTTCTGAAATAGGAAAGTAAGGAAGTTATACTACTGGGTATTAATATATATTTAAGATTAGTACTGTATAGACCAGAAGTTGTTAAAAAGATGTTGGTCAATTGGTTAATAAGCTGTCTAATTAAGAAAATGTGATTGTATATGTTGTTTAATGCAAGCAAGAAATCTGTGCCAGGTTATATCGATCATTTAGTCGGGGCATATCTGTATAACTGGTGCATGCGGGTTAGTGTAACAAGTAATTTGCAGTTAAATTATATATGTACGTACGTACGTATATATATTGGGCTTTGTTAATTTTCTTTAATATTTTATTAAATAATTTCTGTTATATTATTATAAATGTTCATAATTATAAGCCCTAAGATGAGATCCTTTCATATCATTATATCAATTACAGGCTGTCTTGATTAAAGATTCGGATTAATAAATAAACTATTTTTATTATATTTACCAACAACACTCACAAAATAAATGAAAATAAATGGTAAATATTCATGAAATTAAATGATTTATTTTAAACGTTTAATAATTATTTTTTATACTCAACATCAAAATGAAGTTAGAATAGTAAAATATTTTAGTAATTATCAAATCATCATTCTTTAAAAGGGATAAATGCTGTTCATAGTTAACGTTAATTTTAATAATTTTAGTAACTGACTTGATCTACGTACATACATATAAAGAGTTGTATGAAACAATTATTTTACTGAAAAATCTTGATATGTCTTGTTTATATTTGTCAAAATTTAGGTCTGCAGTTAGGTGAAATAAGAACATGTGTATATACCTGCAAAATATGGTATTTGATATATAATTTTGTTATAAATATAGTTCTAATTAAAAAGTGATGCATTATTTACTTCAGTATTTTACAAAGCAAATACTAATATTTCTAATT